AGCACGTCATACTCTGCAGGTCATTGAATTTGTCATGCAACGTTTGCTGGGTATGGTCGTGCCTCTTGTCACTCTCAACAGGGCAGAAAATTCTGTATCTACTTTCGAACGCGCAGATTCTAAAACCCACACGAGATCCTTTGCGAAAAAATATGAGATTGGAATGTGAGCGTTGAGATGCTTTGGAGGGGCGGGGGGTAGATACGCAGGAATATGAATTCGTAAGTAACCTTTTTCAACAGGAAAATCTGATTGTCTTCCTTGGTTTCTCTAGAGATGTAATTATGATTTACTACACCTTTGTAGAAATTTAATAAGTGGTGGACAGATAAATGCACGCGGAGGCCTTCAGTTCCTTTTCTTTGAATAGATTTTCAGTCTCTTCGTCGGATCGACATTTGAACAGAATGAATCCGGTATGGTGATAAAGCATCGCTGCATTCTTTCCTAACTTTTCCGATTTTCATTGCAAACTTTATTAGGCAGACACTATTAATTGTGTTTCTTTCACGTTATAAAATATAAAGGCTTTCTCGGTTTGTAAATATCTTAGCAAAAATATTATATAGGCCAACGTTCTTTACATGAGGTATCGTCTTGCTTGCGGAAGAGGGCAAGGGGTGGTATCCAGAGAGAAAATAAACGGTTCTTTCTCGTGGTCCCTCATCCACCACAAAGCCCCGAAGTTTAAGAGACCCCTGCAATCTCAAATAAACCGTCTAACACTGGTCGCCACGCAGAGTAATCACATGGTCATTCAACATACGTAAAAGGCTAGTGAAGAAGAAAAGGTGCATTAAAAGAGTAAACAGTATTTATTAAAATGTAGAGACTTGAGGTAGGTCGTGACGCGTTGTTGGTACCGCAAAAAATGGACGCAGATGCCTGACTGCAGAATGTACCTGGGTGGAACGCCCGAGCAACGCCAATGCTGCAGCTCGAGAGTGCGCTAAGAGTTTCCGGAATCGAATGAAGCTTTTTTATTTATGCGCTTCGACTCTCGTACTCGCGCAACAAAACACATATTAGCGCGAATGCGACGTACCAAACGACATGCTTGATGTTGCGACGCAATCAGGCGAGGCGAGGGCCATTGTGATCCAATCCCTCGCATGTTGCAGTACGACTGAGGGTAATTGCAAACAATATTCCTCACTTTCTGATTCTATGACCGCCACGTGCGAAACGTATTCTGTGTTATTTTTCCCTCGCTTGCATGACCATACTATTTCTTTCCGCGCTCTGCACGCCAGGGGCTGACGCCCACTGACTCTGTTTTTGCGACCTGGCATAAGTCAGAATCTCATTTCTAGAGCAGGGATATTAAAGCCGCGCCCGCACGAGCAAATAGCACGCCTTAGAAATCCGGCACTCTTACGAGCACGGGTCAGCTATCCCTGACTCCGCTTTTGTCCCCTCAAACTCCAGAAAGAGTGTACATGTGCAAGTTGAAGCGGCCCGAAGCGTGGAATAATGGCTTTAACCGAAAATATATTTGCCGGGTTTGTTCAATCCAACAACCGAGATTTGAATTGTGTTTATATTCTTCACTGTCGTTTACTCTTTCATGTTTATTATTTTTTAATTGTCCCATAAAAACCTTTATTCAAGGAGTAGGAATGTTTCAATGGCGAATTACTTCCTTGTTTTATAAAATTATTCAGATTTTTGTTGAATATAGCAATAATTTGAAATAAATTAACAAGAGTCTTAATTGAACAATTCTTGCTTATGGATGGACAACTCTTAACAAACTTCGTCTTTGTAACTTGCAATTATTGCACTCCTTGAGTTAACACAATAACAAAATCGCAACACTTTGGATTCAAAAAGAGATTATACTGATGAATTGTACCTCTTAAAGGATCATTTCTTTGATTTTGAAGAGAAAATGGAAATTAATATACCTATATTTTGGGCAATAACTTTCCGCCGACTTTTCCAAAAGACTTTCATGGCCTGGAATCTAATGATGTCTCGTCATTCCGGAGAAATTCGTACAACCCTTAAATGTTTGAGTTATATGCTATCCGAGGGCAAAGTTTATCCAACAAATTGAGCCATTTTTCAGAACATTTTCAAAATGCCGAGGCTTCATTTAAATTACATCCAAAAATCAGTATGACCTTTTCGAACTGGCAAAACCTCGTGTTCGTTCAAAACGATCACTAAATATCAATTTTGAGGAAATCGTCTGAATAGTGTTAGTGCTAACGCTGAGCACCGACAGACGCACGGACGGCCGGCCAGACACTGACGTTTTGCCATAATCGACCTTTTGGTATTAAGGACCCACAAAACAAATTCTGACTACAAAATGTGTTAGAATAAGTAATTTACTTCATCTTCGTATAAATATGTAATTTACTTTTCAATTACTTACTAATTAATTTACTCTAAACGTTTAGGAAAAAGAATTGATCAACTTTTTCGTTATCAGGGCACGACAATAATTTTTGTTTTCGTGAAATCGCCGATTTCCACCGCACGATTACATACTTTAGTTTTACTACCTACGTAGTATGACGAGAAAATAACATGTGTAACATTTTGGGGGAACTAATTTTAAAATATTTGGTGATGTCACTGTTTGCGGCCAACACTATAAGTAGGCGCGTCTGGATACCTCTATAGAAAATGAAGTAGAATATATCTAATACAGCACTTCAAAAACATCAATCAGATCATAAAAATATTTCAACTTTCTAATGTAGTAAACATATTGTAGAAAATATATACAGATATTCAATTTTTGGTTGTATGTCTCCGCTAAAGCATGCAAGACGTGAAACAGGTTATATTTGACAACAATATTTTTACTATTAATTATTCTCACTATACGTCAATACTAAATAAACAACGAATTCAAACAAACACATCGATGCTCCATGAAGCAAAATAAAAGTTTAACTTACGTAAAGTAAAATAAGGCGTTACTTAATCAAACTGCAGTGTGATATATGTTAATCATTGTGATATGGGAGAGTAAAATCAGAGAAAACATTTCAATTAGCAATGTAATAAAAAATAATACTTCATAAACTAGTTGGAAATGGAAGATTTATATAGTATACCATTCTTTTACGAGTTATTTTTCTGCAAACAATTTTTTTAAGCAAGAAGCATTACGCAAAAATGTTCAAGACAATTAAAACAACTTGCAGATATCGAAAAATACTGTGCAATAAAATAACGTGCTTTTCGAGAAACAGACACTCAAAATATTTTCTAAAATCAAGCTGGCTCATACCTTAAAACGGGTTACTTGGCTCTGGTGAATTATTTATTTCAAAATGAAAACATGTCTACACCATGTGTATTACAAGTTAATTGTTTGATAATTATATAGAACTGGAGATTCCACAAAACTTCACCACTAGTGAAGCAATTCTACGTTCAATGTAGTTATTAAAAAATAACTAAATTTGGGGCAAAGTAACCCGTTCTTACGGTACATTCCAAGTGATATAACGCAATACCATGATATAATGCATTCGTCTATGATTTTTTATTTTCCGAAAGTAGCAACTTCTTAATAATGTGACCACGAAAATCTATAATACACAAAATAAAGATTTGAACTAATTTGAAAGCGTTAAACATTTATACTTGGGGCTCAAAATCATAACACACGTGTATCGTAGGCAAATCGACATTCTTTAAATATCGTCAAGACATAATAAAAGTTACATATCTTAAAAATTATGTTTAATAATGTAAGGAAATACGTTACAAAATTGTCCATTTTTATAACAAAAATTACATTAAGCATTCCACAAGACAGTCGGTACGACGAGTATAACACTTTTGTTTTTTACTACAAAACAAACGACTATGTACAAGATAAAACCGTAATTCTAGAAGGGAATAATTTTTTGTGATATGTCACTTATTGAGCGCTGGCTATGTATGATCATTTCATGACAGAACTATGTTTCTCATATTGTACATTTCATTAAATACAGTTTTTAATAATGTACCTAATTTCGGTGGTTGCAATATGCAAATTTACGCAAATAAAAGAGGATATTCATTTCATTGTTATCGTCGCCTGGAATCAATTTCTGACGTGTATTTAAAAAGGTACGATACATTCGATAAATTTGATCAATGTTTCCAAATGAATAAATTATTACGTTACCGAACAGAGTAACGAGGTATTATCTACTTTACCTAAACCTATTGCACTACGTACGAACTTTCCTTCATTCAGTTATAACAATGATTTGAAATTACTTCGGTTGGTGGTGTGTGGTCTTACAAAATGAGCTAGAAGGTCGAAGGTTTCAAAAATTAGGAAATCTTTCTGAATGCTGAAATTCTTAATTGTACAGATTATGGAAAAAACATCGATGGGTGAAACCATAAAATATTTGCAGTTAAATATATTTTAAGTTAAGTAAATTAACCTTTCGTATAAAGTCAATTAGAAAGAATCTCACACACATTTGACGTTTTGTAAACAATATCCCTACTTTGATGTTCAAATGAAAGCTACTTCTTACACTTTGATACATATTGATACTCTGAAGACCAATATCACAGACGTTTTGGAGGTTTTTTTAAAATAAGACTATTTGAATAGGTTTCAAACGATACGCATCAATAATATATACGTAATATATACGTATCTAGTAATTTAATAGTTTAGATCAAATCAGAAAAAAAGATGCTTCACACATGACCTAACAAAATTATTTAACCAAACTGTACGAAAACGCATTGAATCTACGAGAAACGGGAGGGTTAGTAAAGGAGAGAAGAGAGGATAGGAAGGAGGGAGAAGTAGAAACAGAACAATCGTTGTATTTATAAATGTTAAAGTAACTTGGGTTTTACTCAAAAGAAGTCCATTGAAAATACTATCAAAGGTTTAGAAAATACTACGAGTGTCCATAACATGCCACAATAAAACCAGAAGCGATGTTTAAAAAAATCTTCGTAAGAACTAACACTGACATGACTACATGCGCAATTATGAACTATAAAATTGTCGTCACCTGTTCGAGCAAGCGAAGTTTGCGGCGGTGACTCTGCTCGCCTAATCGATCCACATACTCCCGCAATTCTTCGATCTCTTCTTTCACCTGCTGCACTGTGTCAAGCTCATGTTTGATGGCCACCATATCACGCTTCACTTCGCTCACCTCACTTTGGCATGACTCGACAGATTTGGTGAGTTCCTGAAGCTGTGACCGGATTTCACACAGTGCAACAGTGGTCTCCAGCTGGCGGTCACCACGCTGAAGCTCGTCCAGTTTGGCGCTCAGGTTCATGCTCATCACGCTCACCTGCTTCTGCAGACTGCAGCCATGCATGGTCCTAGGTTACACACTATGCATGGCCCTCGTGTTAGTTGTACAACAGTAGCGTTGTTGACAAACGATATTCTAACAGATCATCTCCATGCATGAACAGACCCCTAAATAATATACGACAATTTACACACATTGTATCCGTAAAAAATATTAAACTAAATATATCAGAACTCAAATAAATGCACTGTCTACTTTTTTAGAAGTAACTCAATTTGCATTCTCCCAATTCCGTGAGATGCTCTCTCACATTTACTCACTCTCTCCCTCTGTCTCTCTCTCCTGACTCTCTCTCGGTATGATTTCGGTAATGTCGTTATTGAACAGTCCTCAACGATTTCTAAATATGCTCTTTCAGTTTAATCATCAAAAATCCAACGCTACGATCTGATCTCTCGTTTGCAACTTACACTGAGGTACAGGACATTAAATACATAAATAATGTAAATATAAATAATACATTATTGTAAATAAATGTAAGACATATACGTTAAAACATATTTGTTTTAACTGTTATTTTGGTAATGTTAGTGTCTTACATCTATCTCTTGCATTTCATTGAAAAAGTTAACATTACACAGGGGTACAGAATTTCAGACACGTTAAATAATCGTAATAATAACATATGCCATAGAATGTTTAAAAATTTAAAAATATTTTTTACAAAAAATATTGTATTTTAGTCTTTATAAAAAGTCAGTATATGTAGACGTGACAATATCTGTACAAACAAGTCAGTCATAAGACTAGAGCTGAAAATTTTTTCGAATAAATAACATTTTTTTATAAGAAAGGCTTGTTGAAATAAGGTCTGCATGGCGTTGATTTTCTAATCGCAGTAATATGTGCATCGTGTTTCGGCGCCATTCGCCCTTTACATTCAGAAATGTTATTGAAAAATCATCGTGAGTGCAAAACATTCTCGACTGTAGTACAAATAAGTTCTGTTAACGCACGCCAATAGAAGTACATATTCAGACTTTGTTCCCATGAACAAATCTAAGAATCCGTACCGCACTCCAAAACTGTACTCCGTGGAGCGGGTTGACCCTTCGCGGCCGGAAGCAACTGGTAACATGAACGTGCTACACGTCGGAAGGCATCTCTACGATGACGATGGCGTCAAGGGCTATCAGCTCTGAGCATTCAGGAAGGTGGCTCGCTCTACAGGTTGGAGGGCATCTCTCAGATGACGGCCTCTATTCCGTGGCCCATCTCAGAGACGTCAGCTGCTTTTCTTCATATTTCTAAATAAGATATCAATCCAACAATGAGATAGTATCGTGAATCGGAAATAGTGGTCTATCGAAATACATACAAACGCTATCTGATAAAAAATGTTTTGTCACACTTTTTCTTGTCATTATCTTCTAAAACTTGGCCTAGCAAGCGACCTCCATCAGGTGAATGTTTTGAGCTGTTTTACATCCAAAACAAAATTCAATGGAGTTTTGAATGTAAAAAATGTATTTCTTGCATTGCATTTAGTTGTTTATTTTCGAAATTGTATAATCAATAAATTAACTACTAAAATAGGTCAATTTAAAACGTGATTTTTTAAGATTAAAGAAAAAGTATTATTATTTAATGTATTATTCGAATACACAGTGCGTTGTCAAGTTATAGCAAAAATAATAAATAACGAGTTCAATACTATTTAAAATACAATGCCAGTTAAATAAAATCTAACGCGTCGGCTCATAAGGCCACGAAGCAATGGCCGGGATGACGGAAGTAAGAAGCACGCAAATCCTCCGAGTCAACGCGCCATTTTCTTATGTCATCGTCGAGATGCCCTCCGATCTGTAGGACAGCAGATCTGTAGGCTGCCTTCAGGCACACGAACTGGAAAATCATTCCAAGTTGTCTCAGATATGACGTAAGAGTGTAAATTGTTAATATTGTTTAAGCGCTTTGAAAATGTGTACCCTTGACAAGATAATGACCATATACACATATATATGACTAGAAACATTAGTTTTCTTGAGAGAGCTTTATCAAAACTAGTTTTCACTATGTAATGCTAGATTACTGGCAAATGCGAAAAGTAGTTTTGATAAAGCTCTCTCACGAAAAGTAATGTTTCTAGCCAAAACTAGAAGTGCAAGTGTATCCAAGTGTGCTAATAAAAATTAGACTTCTCTGCCTTTATTTGTTAACAAATGATTAAAATTAATCTAGTCAGACCAAACATCAGTTAAAGGTGTGAACACGAACCAGTCTCCCGACCTACATTTTCATAGTTACCCCAAATATAAATAATAAGAAAGGTTTTCAGAGTGTTACGAAAGCGACAGCAATGTTTCCCAGGCACCTTTCCTGAAGAAAAAGAACTTGACAAACGTCAAATTTCGACCCCGAAATAACTTTTTGATATTTGGAATAATGCTACGACCTCACTAGAAGGGTAGAATTAGAGATACGGATACCTGTTATATGTTTCCAGATTTGGGGTTTCCATGAACTATTTCATTTAGCCTAACTCTGAAAATTGCAGAATTTACCTTTGCTCCACCCAAATCAGCAATTCTTCGTAGTGGATGGTACCAGGGATACATTTCGTTTTATTGTACAAATTTCATAACATTTTTTGTATCAACACACGAGCCGGTTTTCAATTTTCGGGGTATTAGTTTTTCTTAATTGTACTCGCCTTTTCAGCAGTTTTCAGTATTATACGACATTACTGTTTCTTATACAACACTCTGCAGTTCTTTCCCTTATATATTTCGAAGAACTGCTAAGAATGTTTGTTAAATCATTTTAACTGCTCATTTCCGTCAAAATTGGTTTTAATTAATGTTCACAAATACATTAATCAAATCTAGTTTTTCCTAGCACACATGCATAATTCTAGTTATCATTGGTAAGAACTAATTATAAATAAGAGGTTTAGTTAAAACTAATGTCATAAGGTAACACTGGTTTTAAATGACTTTGGTAATGTGCATACATACTTACAGGACCACGTAACTAACACCTCTTGCCATTTTTGAACGGTTGAAGATAATTTTTCGCAGGAGTGCATGAGCGAAAAGGGTTACTACAGACACACATTATAGATTTTTTATCACATTTTTTATGACAGAATGAGGTCAACTTCATTTTTTCCTACACGTAGTGACTAGATAGCTCTTCTAAAGATTCAACGTACACCTGGAAGATTCAAACTTGTTGTAACGGTCAGGCGATGTGTCAATTGACTAACGTTAGGAAAACAATTACAAAACCGACTGCAAAAATGCTCCAACAAGATCTAGTAAATCTCGTAGAATTATGATTCATGCGTGCTCTAGTGGCAATAAATCATGAAAGCGTTGCTCTCAGGAAAGCCTTTACGCGACATACAAATTCCCCCGTGAACCTGCATTTGCATATACTAAGTAAGGACATACTCAAGTTCGTCGTTAGTAGTATCACAAAATTGTGTATAACATGAAGTAATAATGAAAAAAATTTATTATTTGTTTCCATCTTTTGTTTCAACAATTTTTAAATGATTGAAATAAATGAAAGTAATCGACATGTGCAAAGGAAAACGCAAAGATACTAATGCCTAATTTAATACAGTAATAAATGTACGGCTGAAACACGAAAACACTTATGTGTATAGATTTTAAAATCTGTTATGAATTGTTTTTCAAAAGATATTAATAGTTACAAAGTATATAAATCTGATCAATGCAATGCATCTAACAGACTACGAAACCATGTACACTGGTGTTTGTGAAAATTGGAACACCCAGAAGGAATGGTCAGAATTACTCAAAAAATTATGGATATGTAGAACAGTGTACCCATAAAACGTGATCAAATTTGCATAGAGATGGTGTGCACGTTGGCCTAGAAGCGCCATTCTTTGTCTGGCAGGTCAGGTCAGTGTAACACCACACTCAGTCAGTGTAGAGCCGTCAAATGACGTGGAAACGTGCAAGTGCCGGTAGGCTTCGTCGACGCCAAAGAGTACAATATTAGCATCTGAGAGTTCCAACGAGCCAGAATGATCGGTCTCCGGGAAGCGGGTTTGTCCTACAGTGACATAGAGGCTCGAACGGAGCGCGCTGCAACGACAGTGATGAGCGAGTGCGTATAACCAGTGGACAGAGGAGAATCGTACACAGCGAAGAGCGGGTAATGGGCAACTCAATAGAACCAAAGCGCGAGATGGCCGCCATCATGGTCGCCATCATGGCCGCCATCTTGCCCGCATGGCCTTAGTCGACAGAAAGGCGTCGTCCACGGTGTTGGCTCGACTTTGAAGCACTGCAACGGGTATGGTCACGTCTGCGTCGACGATTCGACGCCGTGTACTGAGAGTGTACTGGGCATGCATACTACTGCGTCGGATTCGGTTGACGAAAAACAACCGACACGTCAGACAGCAATGGGCACGTGAACGTGTTCACTGGTGTACCGAGTGGCAAAATACAGTTTTTTCGGGCGAGTCGCGCTTCAATTTGTGCTACAGCGATTGAGCGTACGTATTCGACGCTACTGTGGTGTTTGCAATCTGCCTGCCTGCCTGCATTGTTTCGCGCCACAGCACAAAAACGTCAAGTGTGAGAATTTGGGGCGCCATTGGCTGCAATGTGCGATCTCGCCTCACACTATTCAGGGAAATCTCAACAGCAAATGCTACATCAGAGAGGTTTTAGAGCACAGGGTACTGCCCGTCCAGCAAACAGCTCCACATGCCATAATTTGGAAGGACAATGTCCGACCGCATATGGCGAGGAATGTGCAAGCTTTCTGCGAAAATGACGGGTACCACTGCTTCCCTGGTCTGCACATTTGCCTGACATGTCGCCCATCAAACTTGTCTTGTGCATGATCGGTCGGCAACCGGTTCTTTCGTGTCCTTCTGCATCCACCCGATGCTTTCTGGCCACGCAAAGAAACCGCGTGGCAATGTATTCCCCAGCAGCATATCCAGGCTCTCATTGTATCCATGCCACGTCGCCTAGATGCGCCGATGGCAACGCGTGATGGCTTCACACCCTACTAACTTCTCGTAGTGCCAATCCTTGAAGTGATTTTACGTCATTACGCATCATTACGTGTTTGTGTGTGAGAATTCGACCAGAATTATTTTTGGGGATAAGTTTTGGTTACCATACATTATACATAGAAACAAGGAAGCGAGCTGATTGAAGGGCGACCGGGAGTAAGGATGTAGCCAGCGCAATTGGCGAAAATAGAAAGCAATTCGAATAGGGGAACAAAATAGATGCTGACACAACGTTGTGCACTCTTTTTTCCTATAGGTTCAATAATTCGCTAGTTATTAACCTTTTCTCTACGAACGGGAAACCCTCCTACAACAATATTGTAGCACAAATGTACAATCGGCAAGAATCGCCGTCTGATCTCCACTGACGCGTGATAGATTTTATTTGTCGCTTACATCGCCTAGCAAACTGCGACTGGGAAAATACTATGTTTGGACCTAGGCATACAGAAGTGAAGTGTTGATACAGAA